TGCAGACCCACACACACACACACACACACACACACACACACACACACACACACACACTCACTCCTGCACTCTGCTGAATGAATGGAAACTACAACATTCACCAGATTTCCAAGCACTTTCAGACCACCGGCTACATCCAAATTCCTGGGGGACAATGTGTGTGTGTGTGTTTAGTCTCCAAATAAACAAATGAAACACTCATGTTGCACTCAGACTCAGCCAAATGCAAGTTAATAAATCTTTGATCAAAGTTTCCACGAGATCAAGTATATGATTTTTTTTTATTGAATCTCTTGAGCATAATTCAGAATGAGAACTCACAGATCCCACATGCCCTTTTCATTTTCAAATATTTATTTCTACTGCATTTCTCAGCAAACACTTATGAGCAAAACTCCCAAAGATTAATTCAGTTTTTAGCCAGAATAAACCACAAAATAGATTTTAACATTTTCTGAAGAGTTGTGTGTGCATGTGTAAAAAACATGTGAGTAGTGAGTGGTTGCTAGGTTTTTTTTCTATGCGGTTGCTAAGATGTTCTTGGTGATTTGGGTCATCCGTCAGGTGAAAAATCATATGTAGGATCACACACACATTATCTCAAGCACGATTTGAGGTTTCATATATGAATATGACTATAGCACAAACGGTGCTGGACAAGATATATGCTGAACTTTAATATTAAGGATTATTCGTTTGTTCAAATCTATTAATCAAGTATGAGTATGAATAACAATAATAATAATAATAGTGATGCTTGCCAGCCACTAACTGCATCACCTAATATTTCATTTCCTAATGGTTTCTATTAGGTTTTTTTTAACCATAAAAGACACTATATAAAACTTCACAAGAGTGTTCGCTAGGTCTATTTACATAATAAAGTTCAAACCAAACAGTTCTTTTCACGGAAACAACCAACCAATGTCATTAATACACTGAAAAGTTATTCTTCTCAGGAGCTGCTACTGAAACATTTTCTGACCTTATATGGCCTTTTTCTCTTGAGGGATTTGGAAAAGTGAAAAATTTCCAAAATGTTGGAAAAAACACACGGTCAGGAATGAGTCTCTTTAGATTCAGAGCTTTAATCTATGCAGGAAATATTCCACGTGTGGTGTGCAAAAGCCAAACATTTCATGAATATGACTTTGCCACACTTTAAAAGCTTTTGGCTTCCTAAACAGCTAAAAAATAACAATATTAATAACTAAATAAATACATTATTAATTTTTCTTGCTACTGCTCATATCAGTATCCCTCTCTGTATCAAATGGCAACCGAAGTGCCTAAGACTGATGACACCAGGTAAAAATTCTGACCCAACACGGAAACATTACAACCACATAATCATATTAACAAACTGTTACTGGCTAAAATTGAAGCCAAATATCAACTGCACACATATATGTTCGTATATACATACATACATACATACATATATTACTGTTTGCTATATAATAGAGTTGTCTCATGAATCCCAGGTATAATGGGTCCAGTACCTTATACACATCTCCATAGGTCCCGCTGCCAACTCTCTGGATCAGCTCAAAGTCGTGCTGCGGGTTTCTGCGCTGAATCTCCCCTCCGGACCGGCCCAGCAGATCCATGCTGTCGGACTGGAGGATTTACTACTTTAATGAACCAGATTCAGTTTTACAACAGACCTGCAGTCCACATCCCCCTGAAAAATAACAGAAACCAGAACAACATGAGATTAATAACAGCACACCTAAGCTTAGACAGACAGACAGTCAAACAGACAGATAGATAGATAGATAGATAGATAGATAGATAGATAGATACGTAAACCGTTAGACAGACAGACAGATAGATAGATAGATTATAACTTTACGCCTTTTTATAAAGACAACAAAAACATCTGTTAGCAAACTATACCTGCTTTTAATAGCGTAATTGGTGCAGATGTTTATACATTTTAAAAGTATTTATTTTTAAATACAATATAGGAGATTTTAAGCTGTACATTAAGTTATTTGGACACATGTCAAAATTATTGACGGGTGTCAGGAAGTGTTAACTGTCCAAAACAGGTGGTTTGTTTTAAAAGTTCCCCCTCATGGTGAGAAAGACGGTTTAACTTTTTTTTATGTTTCAGTAATTAAAGTTCATTTTTTTGTCTGAATCTCCGCGTATGACGCTAACTCAGCTAACTTCTGCTAACTAATCTCACATAATCACTTCAGCTTGAAACTTTTTTAAAGACCAAATATAAACATACAAATATGTTCATAAAGCATAATCCAGATTTTACAGTTATATAGTTGTATTTAGCTGGTGAGCGTTTTAAGAGCCTTTCGCTCTAAGTGACAGTAACGTTAAAGTTCAACCGAAGCTAACGTTAATGCTAATGCTATAAACAGCGTCAAACTACAACGCCAAAATCACTTAAACGCAGAAACTTTGATTTAAACTTCACCATTTGAGCGATTAATCGTTGTCCTCGGAACTCATGAAGATTTAAAGTTTTCCGAAGTTCATTTTGCGTCGAAATAACCATCCAAACAGGAACAGAGAGAAGAGCAAACTAACTTCAGATCACTAGACCTCACACACACAGACAGACACACACTCAAAACCGCGCACAGACACGGATACACGAATATACACACACACACACACACACACACACAGACAGAGACAGAAAGAAAAGCAAACATACTATATAAAAGCAAACAAAATGTTAAAGCATTACACAATATCTCTTTCACTTTAATTCACTCACTGTGAATTTCACTGTGCATTATTTGAGCATGGTACCATTGTAAGGACAGTAGTAGCTGGTTAGACAATGGTTACAGTCAATAGTTATAGTGAAAAATAAATAATTAAAACAATATATAAAACAATTAACTGGTGTTATTTATATTTGGTGTCATTTGTAAGATTTCTTTTTCTTGTTTTAAATGATAAGTCATAACTATTGCTTATGATTTATAGTGCATGAAATCTAAACAAACTAGACAAAACATGTCTTTCAGTAAAAGACGGGTTATTATGGTCTTTCATTCTTTAACTCTTCTTTATTTTTATTTTTATTTATTTTCTTTTTAGTGTACGCGTAGCGCCATCTGACGGATATTCTCAGATCCACCTACCGTCAGAGTGAGGACAGAGAGATACAACAAAGAGAAGAGACTGTTTAATAAACAGTAAATGAATAATAAAGTAGTGTAATAAATATAAAAAGTGTCTTGTTTATGTGTAAACGGCAAATATTGTTAAATCTATTATTCTAAGGGATTCAGTGCTGACAGGTCTAGATAATCCTAAATAATGACACACTGATATCAGCAAAAATACTGAATTGAAATAATAGAGTAAAGAGTTAAAATATGAGAGCTATAATTTAGACCAACCGTTCCTGGCCAATTAGAGACAGCGTCAGGGTCTCTAAGCCCCGCCCATTACAGTTAAATTATTACATTATTATAGATGTTTACCAGCCGAGCGTCCCACAGCGCCACTAGGCGGTCCAATGGTGCGCTGCACATTTGTTTCAGACGAGAATGAACCTCCATCACTGGCAGCTGATTTCCAGCATCGCATTCGTCTCATGATCGCTGTTTAGAACCGAACCGACCAGAATACTGAACAAAACACCCAGTGAGACATGGCACGAGACAAAAAGGACAGAGACAGCTGGGGTAAGTCCATTTTTAATAAAACGTGAGACAGCCTATGAGACGGGTTATTGTGCGATTCTGTAAATTATGAGGATGCTGCTACATAGACACTCTGTCTGTATGTTCAGGAACACACACAACTAAACACAAACAAAAACAATGCTCTTCCCCTGTCCAAATCAGCTGATTTGGTCCGGACCACAGCCCTGTTCCGCCCTGTATCTGTGCGTGTTCGTGATGACAGCTTTTTTTTTTTTTTACTGCTGTAACATCTATATTGAAATGCAGTGTGATATTTGCAGTATTGTGATGTCTGTGGGAACACAAATTCGTGCTCGTTTGTATAATGCACCCACCCATTTCTTACACATCCCAGTCAATAATATGCTTTATTTTTAATACTACTTCCTTGTGTTATTGATACTGATGTTTCAGGCAAATTTATTAGATCACACGTCACTGTTGTTCTACATTGCAGTGATTTGACTGTGTGTGAAGTGATGTGCATTGATGCCAGTAGCCCACATAAGCAGAGCTCTGTACATCTGCTACAGGCCTGTATGGAGATGCTGGTTTATATAATATACACGGTAGCCTTATGGAATGCTTGCTGCTCTAACCAGGCCTGACCAAGTGAATATGACATGATAGAGAGCAAGAGAGAGAGAACAAGAGAGCTCTACAAGCTAATTTGAATGTAAATAATTTACAGTGTTGGGACAGTATTGGTATCGCTTTGGTGCTAACCAATGGCAGAAGTGTAAATACAATGCTGTGAACAGCTTCATCACATCCTTATAATTTGACTTGGGCCCACTAAGGTCCTTTTAGCCCTATATCCTTTATCAATATCCATTACTGTTCAGTTGCATTTAAGAAATGCTTGACAAATGCATTAATTAGAGGGCAGGTCCTCCAGAGCAACCTGGTGTTTTACTAGTTCACATACTCATATAATGCTTAAAAACACATTAACCATTAGGGTGGCAGCTTGTATAATGCTTGACAACCAGTTTTGTTGTTACATTAGGTCTGAGATGTACTTCAGGACCTCTTAAAGGGTTAGTTCACCCAAAAATGAAAATTCTGTCATTAATTACTCACCCTCATGTCGTTTCAAACCCGTAAGACCTTCATTCATCTTCG